ATGTAGGTACTTTTAAATAGCACTATTAAGTGTTATTTTTATAATTGTAAATGTTTAGCTTCGTTTCACTGTACATATACAGCTGCCATGTAAGTGGCATGGCCATCTGCCCATCAGCCAGGTTCTGAACTATCTAAAGGTTGACTGGTAGAAAATGCCATATGGCATTAAGTCTGTCTCGTGCAAAATGTAATGCAGGAAGTTTAAAAATAAAAAAGAGCAGGTAGATTTTAATTTAAAAAATATTTTGTATTTTTTTATCAGATTTTTTTAAATTGAGAAATTTTTAATCTATGATATCACCAGTCTTCTTTATACTCAACAATATCACAGACAATTGCAACCACTTGACATCAGACAAGAAAAGCAAAAGTAAAACTACAATAATGTATGCCTAACCACTTTGTCCGTATCTTCACATTTAGCTGATTTATTTAAAATATCAAGATTTTACTACATTTAAATCTAAGTCAACGTTCTCCACATGATATTAAATTCAATTTTGCGTACTTAAACTTTACTCAACTGTGTGACACTCCGCAACTATAAATTAGTTTTTATAGCTCACGATGCATACATTAAGGAAGACTTTGAACTCAAAACCTTTTATATTTAACGTATTCAAGAAAGTTTTATTTGTTTTTTTTCTTTCAGCCATATGTTACCTCTCTTATGAATCACGATGTTTACGGACAACTCTTCGTACTTAAAAAACTTCATTCTTATAATACTCAATTTATATAAGTAGAAATAAATTTGGATCGCAATGCAATCAGCATGTTTCTAATACACTGATATTTCCAAAGTCCGAGAAATTGTTATATTTATTATCGCTGGCCTATCTTATATATTCTGAGGAACAATTAACGAGAAAGTGAAGCTTGGGATTTGCTTCTAGTAAATCAAAATATTTTGGAACAATATTCCTAACTAAATGTTATTTTAACATGAACTTGCAATATTGTAGCAAGTTTACCAACCGTCGTTTATAATTAATTTAGTCTGGGAATGTTCCATGTGTACAATTAATTAAGTTGTTTAATTTAACTGTATTCTTGCAAGGAAAGTGGTGATTGTAAAACATTGGTAAAGGGATCGAAATTGTCACTGAGAATATAATATTTACTGATTAGTAATCTACTACGTAAAGTATACGTTTCTGTGGCGAGCGAGAAATACAATTAACAAGAAATGTAAAGAATTAGAACGTGACATATTTGTGACTAGTTAGCAAGTGGTAAGACGGGCACAGTCTCAGCAGTTCGATTCAGAATACTAATTTTATTAAGTGTTGTACTTGATTCATTCTTAAACTTATAATAGCTTTTAAATACTACATCTTAATGTTTTCTATTCGTAAAGACTTGTTAATAGGTGAATGTAACCTATACAATATGAAATTTATTTGTCAAGCTGTTGGTCTTCCATGATTAAATAAATAAATAAAACTCACGACTACAATCACGTAAGAAATAAATCGTAACCTTTTTCAAAATAAAAATGCAGAAGTATTTCACATCTTCAGAATTTTTAGGAATATATTTATTCCGTTGTTTGATTGTATGTATGGATTAACTCGTCTGAGAACCTGTTTCGGCACATGCGAACTGGCTCGTCTGGCCACCACCACGGCCTCACAAAAAACCAACATTAAGCAATTCTTTTGTAGCGTTTCACCAAGTCGGTAAGATTACAGGAGCCCCTACAGGAGCCTCCTGTTTTGGGAGGGGTGAAGCCTAAGGGCGGCAACGCACTTGTGACTTTTGAGTTGCAAGTGTCCAAGGACGCTGGTAGTCTCTTACTTGTAGTACGTATATAAACAATATATGTTCATATTATATATAGTTGTATTATCAATGTATTTCAACCGAAACTCAACTCTCGTGTAAACGGGGCCAATATATGTAGATACTTATATCCAGAGGTGTCGATAACGGTAACAGTGTCGCGAGTTCAATGGTTTTTGGAATCTCAAATATTACATTATCTTGTTTGTTGTTCCTAAAATGCCTAACGCGCTTAAAGAAGTTTTCATTTCAAAAATGCACTGTAATCACGGCATACAGTTTTATGGTAAACACCTATTGTAATATTTAAAACGTTTAAAATTCACATGACAAAAATTATATTATTACAGTTTTACAGTAAGTGCAGTAATGTTTCATTTTGAGATGCATGTGATTTTTAATGTTGACGTTATTAATAATAAGAAAGTTTAAATAATTCTAAGAATTTGTGATATTTTAAAAAGTAAAATGTGTGTTAAAAGTAAGTAAACTGTCATAAATTCATAGACAAAACTGAGCAATATATAAAAAAACTAGTTTTCAATATGATTCGTTGAAGTTTTACACATTCCATTTAATCAATCTGCGCCATTTCCTGATGGCTACGACCTTCAAGAAAAGCGAGCGTTCTCCTTAAAAAAACCTCAAAGGCCGGCAAGTCCTAAATATAGAATTAAATTTTATACTGAAAACATATTTATATTAACTAAAAACAGAATGTAATTTATAATAAATGGACAACACCTTACAACACTGATATGTATTCAGAGTAAGCCCCTCAATCATCGGAAAATGTAGGCTTTAATGTTTTGCTATGCGTCAATGAATACAAATGAACCCTTCAAATAATAAATGAACATAGATTTACACATGCGGTATTCAATACGTTATCAATTATGTTTATAGAGACACTTTGTTCATCCTAACAAAATTGAAAAGCCCATTTATAATTTTTTCCTTTATAATTGGTATTCCTATTGAGGACAAACTTTTAAAATCAGTCGTTCAATCAGCATGATAACCTTCTGGGAACGGTCAAAATAGTATTTCAAGACTCAGCTGTTAAAAAGATTAATTTAAATTTCCACTCGGACAAGTCCGTTTTTTTCGTGACAAGGAAGATAGGTTTTAGAAAAATAATGATGCTAGGCATCCAACTTTTTTAACACACAAGCTTATAAAACATAATAATATTTTTTTGGCCTTATTAGGTCTTAGAAAGTGGTTTTATTGATTCATAAAAGTTCAAATTAAAATTATAATAACTACAAGGCATTGATGTTTATTTAACAATAAACAAATTAACAATAAAACTACAAAAGAAAACAGTGTCGTAAGGTAGCGGTAACAGTGTCGCGAGTTCAATTGTTGTTTTTCATCTCAAAAGTCCCAACGCGCCTAAAGAAGTTTGTACTTTAACATAGGTGTCGGTAACGGTAACAGAGTCGCGAGTTCAATCGTTTTTAGAAAATGGTAATTCAATTTTCAGGATATTCTATCGAACGTGGATTTTTATTGTTAATTTTGTAAAGCGCTTGGAGGTTGTAGCTAATTCCATGGAACAACGCCATAGCTTTAATACGTACGTAAGTCACTATATACGTTTTGAGATGCTCGAAATTTGAAAATGGAGCGCATGTGTGTCATATATTATTATAAGGCAAATTTATTTGAACATCGAACACAAAAGGCCATTTTAAAGTAATTAAAAAAAAAAACAAAATTAGAAGTATTATACGCTTTGTCGTCTGCTACAAAGAAGTTTAAACGAGAATATTTGTGTGCTATGATATATTACGACTTTAAATGTGGTTTATCTGAAAGTTTAAGCTTAGAACGTTTTAAATCAGCTTCAGGTATGTCTGTAAAAAAGTAGAACGTAGTATATAACCAAAACATAGAGAAAATAATAGAATTGTAATCAATCATTTTCCTAAAGAAATGTATAAAACCCTCTCATTCAAGATCAAAAATCGATCTTACATTCTGGACACCCTAGCAGATTCATTACAGCCTTAAAGTTTTATATATTATTAATATGTCATTTTATGTGTGTGTTTATGTATATATGGGTATGTATTTGGTGAGTATGTATGTATGTTTATTTATCTCATTGTTTCTGTCTAACTTGTCAATAATTTTCTCTTACTTCACATATCAATCACTATAGTTAAACCGCAGTAAGCTTGGCCCTCCTGATGGTTTGCGGGACGCGGGGCGGGTGATGCGCTCGGCTATACATGACACGATGTACTAACTCGATATCTTCAGATTTATTTGTTTGAGATTTAATCTACACACGATGTAATAAAAATCGAATTTATTTCCATGTATTATAATGTCAGTGTATTGTAAGTTTTTATGATTAATTGTAAAATTTAATACTGTAAAATAATAATAATAAAATCACCTTATCTTCATCATGTAAATTATATTCAGATACAATTTAAAAATTAAGTAAAATAATAAATATTCTTTAATAGAACTTTAATAGTAGAACCTCTGTAAGCCGAACTTCAAGTTTTTAAATCTTTTTGTGACGCAGAGTCGGCAGATTATCATTGTTGCAAAATAATAACGAGTGTAGTAGTCTTAAGAAAAATAACACGTGCAGCCATGCTTTCACGTCAGTCACTGCCGGCGGACAGCGACGCACTAGCTAATTGGTTGAATGCACCCCCGCCCTGCGTCCCCCAAAACCATCAGGAGGGCCAAGCTTACGGCGGTTTAACTATAGTGCACCTAGTCACACATTTCAGCACCACCCTACGGTAGACTGGGAGAAAATGCCTGTGGCATTAATTCTGCCATTGTACAACTCATATTTCTGCAAAATGTATAAAAAAAACCTCTGAAATATTAATATTAGTAAGATTTAATAAACTATATATTTTTAAATAAACTGAACTTGTAAAATGTCTATAACTTATTTCAACAGGATTATATAATTTAACGCAAAAATCCGTTTCGTTTAAGGTTTTACTCCAGAGGTTTTAAACATAACCAAAAAGTTTTCGTAACTAATAATTTTGTTTATTCGTTAATACATTAATACTGGCCAGGGAATGACTGTGTTGAAATACGTACATAAAAAGCTCTGACAGTTTTGAGGTTATGTATTTGTCAAAGAGAGTTTTGGTGAACATAAAAATATACAAAATAATTTCTAATACAACAAGATTCGGTAACGACGACGCGATTTAATTTCATCGTATGTTTAACACAAAGATTGGAAAAATTACAACATGGTTTTTGCTGTTTATTCAGATACAAGTTTTAGGATTATCAGGTATCTGTAACTTATTTTGTATAACGTTATACTATTTTAGAGAAACAGTGAGTATAATCCTTTGGCTGCTTAATTTGATACAAATGCTGCTAAAAATGGTACTTACTCGAAATCTTACCGTTATTTCAAGTTAGATGGTTAATATTTTTGCTCAACTTTAGAATAGTGTTCATTTTACCAGTAAGATCATTCTATTTAATTTTTATGAAAAATTCGGTACAAAATGCATCACAATAAGTATATGATATGGGTATGGAGGTACGGTATAGTTTCTCTAATTTATAGTATTGCACATAAGTTCTGTGACACTTGATTTTATGTCTAAAATCAATATACACACACTGGGTTTAGTGACACATTAAATTCAAATTTTGGCCTCGACTTATTTATGTAAAATAATAATTACCCATTAAAACTACTTTGTTGTCTAATTTTGTAATTATTCATTATAAAAAAGGGTAAATATTATGAATACGGAATTCTTGATTTTCTTTTATGGACTTAAAGAAACGTATTATGATTTGAGTATATTATATTACCAATGAATATAATTCACATACCTTTCTGCACAGGTACTACGTTTTTTGGACATATACATCTGTCAAATTAATTGAGATTAGATTAACAAATTAGATTTTGTACTTAAATAAAGTGTTCTTTATTTACACAAACAACAAATTTATGAAAAAAAGATGCCGTACACCGTAAAATGCACAATATCCGTGTGGTCACGGACTAAGAATACGAAATGTCACAACCCCTTTTCATCCCGTGGGTGTCATAAGAGCCGACTAAAGGAGCTAACTCTGCAGGATAACAGCACTGCAAAGAGAAGGAAAACTTGAAACAAACCCTTTTCTTTTACGTGTGGGAACCCTCACGGGCCGTCACCCCACCGGAGTTTGGGGCAGGGTGGTGTGTCGGAATCCGACCGACTAAAACCACACGGTGTGTTGCTCTGCGCCTGTAATAGGAGTGACCCAGGAATTGCTATTATTAAGACATTCGGACCCCTCCTAGCGCCTGCCCCAATGGCGCAGGCACCCTCTTCGGGTACATTCTCCATTTCAGCGACGTCCGGTACACGTGGACATCGCCTCTTTAGCTGGCTATTATGGCGGGTGGAGGGGAAAGCCCGTCCCACACAGGGGTTGCAACAAACCCTATCCCGACCCGTCTTGCCAGGCAGCGTAATATAGTAGGCCAAAACCTCCTTTCTAAGGAGAGGCCTATGTCTAGCAGTGAACTATAAAAGGCTGTTGATGAGGATTATAATGATTAAATGTGCAATAAACTGCCTTATGCTGGTGCTGGTGAGCAATATCTTCCAGGCAACTTTTAGGTGAACAGGAGTGTAGCGATTAACGTGAGTGGCTCTAATATCAACAGGTCAAAGTAAAACCTAATACGGATATAAGTAATCTATATAAATCAACCCACAGCAACTTTTTCTTCTGTTTTTCCTCATAGAATCTATTGGCGGTTATTATAATCATTACCAAAAATCTCTTTCAACACAAATAAATGTGATGAAAAGAGATACATGAAGAGATACATATAAACATGCACCTAGTAATCCGTTTGCCTTCGCATCTCACAACAATACACATACGGTTCAATGAATATGCGTTTCGATTCACTTGAAATTAATCAGCTTCGCTCATAATTTCAGTAGATAAATTATTTTCTTTAAAATAATATTCGATAAAATATTATCGATATCACTGAATAAAGTAATCTTGTCAGCGTTTTTCATAACCAAAAGAAAGAAATGTTCAGTCATAAGTGAGTCTATAGCAGGGGATTCGGACAAAGCCTAGGTGGAAAATGTATAGTTATGAGACAGTTGAGACTTGAGATATAGATAGAGAGATAGATAGATAATACTTTATTTGTACACCAGGGTTTTTCAGACATATTAAAGTAATGAACAACAGATGTAATGTACAAAGGGCGGCCTTATCACATCACAACAGCCTTTAATAGTTTACTGCTGGTCATAGGCCTCTCCTTAGAAAGGAGATTTTGGCCTACTATACCACGCTAGCCAGACGGGTTGGTATAGGGTTTGTGTCAAGTTTTTCTTCTTTTTGCAGTGCTGGTGTCCTGCGTTCTTTTGCGCTCTTAGTCGTTACGACACCCACGGGATGAATTGGGGTAGTGACATTATAAATTCTTAATCCGTCACTACACGGACATGCCTGATCGCTTAGAGCAATTTCTTCCAGGCAACCTTTGGATGTACTGGATTCAGTTTGGATGGACTTGTGATAGGTATATAGAATTTCTATTAGAGAAATTAATAAGGTCTTAACCTATGAAATAATTATCATACATTTATCCTACTAATCTATATTTATACATTAATACTATACCTACTTGACTGGCTTGTTGGTTTAGTGGTTAGTGACCCTAACTGCTACGACAGACGTCGTGGGTTCAATTTTTACCCAGGGCAAATAATTGTGTGTTAAGCATGGTCATTTGTTCTGTGTCTGGTTGTACTTTATCTATAATATGTGTGTATTTAGAAATACATATTATTATGTTTATCAGCAGTCTTGTTACCATCCAATAGGACTCTGCCTAGTTTGGGATCAGACGGCCGTATGTGAAATGTGTGAAAATTTATTATTATTATTACCTACACACGTTAATATATACATGCACTAATTTTCAACTATGAGAGACAGATAATGCTAAAACTCTTGAAGGTGTTTACTGATTGCGCACGTCTGATAGAAACCGGCAATGCATTCCATAAATGTACAGCTTCCACGGAAAATGATTTTGTTTAAAAATTGGTAGAATGCCTTGGTATTTCCAATCTCAGGCTTTCAAAGGACCTTCCGCATTGCATATGAGTGTCATGAAGGAACTTAAAGCTTTCTTTGAGGTAAACAGGAGTTAATGGATTAAACAAAATATTATACAGAAGCGCAAGGATATGAGTATTACGGCGAAGGCGGATTGGAAGCCACTTGAACTTTTTGCGGTAGTGGGAAACATGATCATATTTGCGAAGTCCAAATATTAATCATATGCAAACATTTTGGAGACGTTCAAGGTTTTTCATGATGTGCTTCGGTGAGTTCGAGATAGCTAACGTCGGCATAGTCAAGAATCGGAAGAAGGAGCGTTTGTGAAGTGCAGTTTTAGTAGCAGTCGGAAGAAAGTTACATAACCTTCGCAAAGATCCCGCTGCAGTGCTATCGATTATAACTCCCACGTTTTTGACTTTGCTGCTGATCGGTATGATGGTATTGTTAAATTAATCCGGAGGCAAATGTGACCAATTAATTTTAGCAGATGGGACCATGGGACTCCCAATGATCCATACCTGTCATTTTGTAGGATTAATTTTGGGTCCATAGTCGTTACTCCAAGCCAAGCACTTATGTGTTCTCTAATTGGAAGAAATTTCACTAAGCGATAAGGCCGCCCTTTGTACATTACATCGGTTGTTAATTACTGTATATTGTCTGTAAAACCCTGGTGTACAAATAAAGTATTTATCTATCTATCTATATATCTGCAAATCATCAGCATACAGGTGGTAGGAAGAAAGTAAATGATTGGAAATATAATTTATAAAGATTGCGACGAGTAATGGAGATAGAACGCCGCCCTGTAGGACACCGACAGTAGCCATACACCATGAAGAGAGGGAATCTTCAAGTCGAATGCGATGCTGTCGCCCAAACAAGTACTTGTGATACCAATCCTGGTAATATGTTAATAGAGCGAAAAAACCAAGGAGAATATAAAAACCAACTGTATTAAATCCGTTACTGAAAATCGGGTAAGGATAATACCATTACGTCTCCACTACTGGACACTGTACTGTGTCCTGCATGGAAGCCACACTGAAAGCGATTTAGGAAACAAGACTTTCAAGAGCTTTAGAAAGAAATAGTAAGATAGATATAGGGCGATAGTCTGAGAAGGAAGAGGTTTCGATTTTTGTGGCAAAGGAATAATTTCAGCTGCTTTCCATGCAGATGGAAACACGCCGTAAGATAAGGAATAGTTGAAAATGATACATAGGTCAGGGAGAATATCATCAAGGATGCAGACAATAATTTTTTTACTGAGGCAGTCGCGTCCCACCCCATTAGATGAGATTGAAAATATGCTCTTTCTAACATCACAAGCTGCTATTTGATTAAAAATAAAAGGAGAGTAGTTAGGACTTTTAATAGATGAAAGAAATGTTAAAGTTTTTGTTGTTTTATCGAAATCGAAAATGAGGAGGAAAAATGCTTGTTAAGTGAATCAATATTTAATTCTTTATCAATAGGGTTTTGGTTCGATTTTCCAACTCCTAATGTTTCAGAAATTTTCAGATCTTCACCGGATCGTTGTTTTCAATAGATTTATGGATGTGTTGGCATTGTGCTTCTCTGCACACCTTATTGCGGTATTAGTCACATACTTGTCGAAGTAAGTTTGAGTGATTCAACGCTTGTATCTCGTCTTGGCCGCTACCTTTTTCGACATGATAGCTCGTATTTTATCGGTGAACCATGGAGCAGGCAAATGCTTTACTTTAACAGTACGAAGAGGTGCATGAATATCATATAAATTGATTAAGTTTTATTTTAAAATGTTCACTTTTGTGTCAATACACTCCGAAGATAACAGAGGTTGCCGGTAGATGCTTCTAACATCTGCAAATAGGTTTTCCCAATCCATGCTACTAAAACTGCGCTGCAAGACAAATTTAGGTTGTGATTTTGGACATCCGCGGAGCACTGACTATGATTGGTTACATTCTCAGTGTTGGATACAATGATAAAATCTAAAAGAGAGGGAACGCAGTTTGAATTATTGTGAGTCGCGCCTGAGGGTAGTATAGACAGATTGCTACACTTTACCAATAAAGAATTAAACAGAGCAGGAATCTCCTTTTAAGAGACACGTATTGAAATCTCCCATAATATTCGTCGATAGTACCTTCCTACCTACTTCCCATAGTATCGTAGTAAGATTTTCCAAAA